TAGAGCAAAATCTTCAGTAACACATCTGTCTTAAGATGAATTCCGAACCTGGAAATTTATCAAATTATGGAATAAGTTACATACTAACAAAGTAATTTTAGCTAAACTAATTTTTTTACTCAAATAGTTGATATTCCGCATATTTCATAGCCAATAGCCAAGCCAATACGTCCTACTTGTTAGAATAAATCTCTTGGAGGCTGGAAATAAGCGATTAGACCAAGATTGGCTGGCTCCAACAGCCTCCGGCTAGTCGGTAACGTCAGAGCAGATATTTAATATTGCTGAAACAATAATTGCTTTTTATGGAAAATATTTTTCATTTATTTTCGAGTATATTTATATAAATAAAATTTAAGGAATTTTATTAATCGTTTGATCTAGATAAACATTACAAAAACACATTCACATCTCGTCTGCTCGTGATCACGGTTGATGAAAAGTAACAGAAACGTCGGGAGTATGTAGTTTTAAAATAATAAATTACTAATAAGTAATATAGTTTCATTTAAATGAATATTCGCGAAAGTATTAGATCTCATTAGTTACGAGATGTAAAGGTCGTAAATTGATCAATTAATGAATTAAGTATAAGAGTAACTGTCTAAATTAATAAAATCGTTCTTTGCTGTCTCTACCGAATACCGTTAGACGATGCAAGATAGAAACAGTTGAAATAAAAATAGATGATTAAAAATGCAAAACGACGTTGTAACCGGCATATGATAATTAAAACTGAATCGTAATTATATGATTTGGGATATTTGCACTAATAGCGAAACTTTTTAATACTGTAATCATTTTAATATTTATTAATTTGTATAAACTTAACAGTATTCATCAATATTTTCATGGTCAAATATCACTGAAATTGTCTAAAGAGTAAATATTAATATTTCGATAAACATAGGTTGGTTATTCTTATTAATTTAAAAACCAATGTTAATACGAACATAGACACAGGAAAAAGTTAGTAGTTTTACGAAATTATAGTTTTAGAAGGCTAGTCATCCTAAATGGTTTGCAGACTGGTTTAATCAAATGACGTATCTCCGGTATTGGTTCTGTCCACCTGATGGTGGAAGCAAATGTATAGTACATGAAAATCAGATAGAAAATATAAGCATATACTATTTAACACATAAGCGTTATTGCTAATATAGGAGATACAGTTTAAGACTTGATTTTTAATGTTCAGCGTTACTTCCAGTAATATCATACTAAAGGCTGAAGCCGGTATTTATAGTTATCAAATACATGTTGATACTTAAATGTTGCTTGCCAAATTACAGTGGTTCGGTATTATAGTTAATTATAATCAGTCATAAAAATAATTCTTAGGATTATAGTATATTATAATTAGTACGTCACTTAATAATATGTAAAGATTTATTAAAAATATATTTGGAAGAATTCATCCATAAGAGTTGTTTGTTTTAATTCCTACGTAATACAAATTTATGTGATGTGTTCTTAATATGGGATTAAAGTTACACAAGACAAAATAAAAGATATAGCTTAATTAAAATGACATCGTCTTTATTTAACAAATACTCATATATATAAGTAAAATACACATATATGTAATTATTATACGTTCATTCTAAAAAGGTTTTTTTAATTCCTACGAAATGATGTCTCCTCTATATGGGATGACAATTACACAAGACATAAAATAAAGGAAAGGAAACAGTTGACAAATAGCTTAATTAAAGTGTCATCGTTTTATTTAACAAATACTCATACAGGTATTTATATTTAGATTATTTTCTCAATTTTTGTTAGCCATCTATCTATTATAACAATTAATTATTCCGTTACATCACTAATTGGTAGTGTCCATTTTAAAGAACCATGGATCTCATACGAAAATAAAGATGCATATACCTTGAATTTATTTTAGTAGATTACGGGTTCCTTCACCATTACTGATGATAAATGTCTGATAATATCCGCCCAGCATCAATATCATCCCACACAGTTCCACGTCCAACTCAAACATGGAATTACTTCTTGATTCTCAACGCAATACAACAAGTATAAATATATAGTAATGAGAATGTCAACATTATTTTAAGAAGTTACAGTTAAAGTTACAGTAGCGTTTAACTGCTTATTTTTTCTTTCTTTTAATATTTTCTATGATAAACGTAACTAGGATTAATTGGTTTATGTAGCAAACACAATAGCGAAACGCTTCATTTTTCTTTTATTGTTACTGTTAGTATTTTAAGCTTATTACTACCAAATAATTGGAGATGCTATTACTATCAAGCATTTTCAATTTCGATAGGTCAATTTTTATGACTCATGAATCTTTTTTTTGTGTGTATTTTAATAACATCATCGCACTTATTGTGCCTAATCTATGACAGCTAAAGAAAATAGACAAAATATTTTGTATAGATTTTATTTGGTTATATAACAAATATGTATAAATGAGATCGTTACTTGTAGATTTAGTTCGCGTGAATCAAATTCAAAAACAGATTCAATGGGATTTCGATCGCCGTTATCATAATTTGCTTAAATATATATTTGCGCAGTATTCCTTTGGCGTATGCATTGTGTTTTGTTATCTTATTATCCCTCTGTTATGATATTCGGTACATAAACTATTCCCCGAGGTATCAAAACGTTCCTATATAAATATCTTATTTTCCGAAACTTTATTACAAATAAAATCTATATCATCTTATTAAAATTCCATACATGTTTCAAATATAATTGCTATAAAGATTATTTAATACAAAAAACTAAGCAACTCCATGAATGGATTCTTCTAGAAATGTTTTTTTATATTCTAACAAAAACTTTTTAAGCTTGCCACTTACTTTTTAAGCTCTCGCCGTAATAACAATTTTTAATTTAGAAATACTCATCAAATTCTCTTTTCCCAAAACAACACGTTAAACTCTGGAATATTTGAACTCCAAGATTGCAACGAACAGACAAATCTCTGAGGGCTGGCGCACAAATAACATTTATGGAATAAGTTTTTTCATTTCCACTCGCGAAAGTATTAGTTTGAACGGCAAATACGTTTTTGGTTTGGGACATGTTCGCGTATTGGAAGAACGTGAAATAGTTTCTCATTGTTACTACATATAATCTTTTATTAGTTGCTGTAATAAGGAGATATTGTTACCTTGGACACAAAAAAGCCTGAACCATAGGTCCCAAATTGGTTTGGACTTGTGAATGACAGACCTGTACCACTATTGTGGTGATAGGAAAAACAAGAGCTATTATTGCAATAAACAGCATTAATGAAGATTATAAATTTATTTATTCTTTATTTGCATATATTTAGATAGTATTATATTATTAAGTATGTAATATTTGAAATATAATTTTAAAGATACCGTACACACAATATCCTTATGTACCAAGTTTAGTAATATATTTGACCTCTGAATAAACTAGGATTAAGAAATCCCTTGAAACAACTCCATTAATATTTCCTCGGAAATGCAACCTTTTTGGATGTTTTTTCCCAGAGCCGTACAGCCTTATTTATCTGAGAAATGCTTTTTTAAGATACCACCTAGCATCCTCTCGGGTGATCCGGCGTGCCAGACTGAAATAAACCTTAACACAAGGGAACTAGTTATCAAATGTATTAATCTGTCCTGGCTGTTAAAGGTATTGGCAGGGTAAAGAAAAAACTATTTACTTTCACAACGCGGCGCTTTTTATTTAAGAGACCTGTTGAAGCTTTCCCTGTAGACTGAAATATTTTTATATATTGTGTTTATTATGAAGAAAAATCAACATCTGTTTTGTACATACCGTTATTTATTCTCTATTATCGTTCTTCTTCTACCTGGCAATTTCCCAGCTATAGCCAGGGTCTGCCTTACATGTTGTGAATAGTTTTGGCTAATTGTTTTTACGTCCGGCCGCCTGCCAGACATCAACCCTCTTTGGGAACGCATTAATCAGTGATGTCTAAATATTTTTAGTAAGTAAATATGATTCGAAAAATCACCTTGGTACTTGTCCGGGCCATGCTCTATTATCGTTATTTGATATACGAGTAAACAAGGTAATGTAACTGTAAATTTTCTACGCTTATTTCTGAATACGTAAGTTTTCCCTGGAGGGAATTTAGGTTTTGGGTTCAAAGGTAAAACCTTTACATAGGAAATACCTGTACTGTCTTGTATCTTTGTAACTCTATTATTAATAAATATATTTTGCTTACAGGTAAGTTATTCTACGGCCGTTTTGTGAGTATAACATCGTGTTTATAGATTTAATTAAAATAATAAAAAATAATTATATATTTTATAGATTGAGATTGACAATTTTTCTTTTTTTATAATTTCATTGTTTGAATGGCAAAGGTAATTCTATAACTTTAAGAAATAAATATTCGTACGGAAGTTTTTACGTAAAATTAGTATAATAAATATTCATTTTACATTTATATCACTAGTATTTATTTTAAGTTAAATAACCAATGTATGTACATGTATAGAAACCACATTACAGCATTCTACAAACCAAGTAATATAATATACATACATATACTGATCAGTACTCTTTAAAATTAATTAAGTAACTAAAATTTTAAATAAAATTTATTTAATTAAATAATCACTATATGCTTAAAGTAATAAATATTTTACATTAGCTTTATTTATTTTTAAAAATGCATGTATTACTATTTAACAAAGACAGGTATAATTCATAATAAAACATATATTTTTGGATTTAAATCAGAAACGATACATTACAGACTCTCATAGTCGGGAATAAAACGTTACTGATGAAATTGTTTATTAAATGTATGAAAAACCATCTACCTAAGACATTTTATATAAACTAACAATAATTCTTAAAATATGGACGAATGCAACTGTTTTATCTTAATAAAAAAATAATCTTACAAAGCGAATGGTATAAACGCTTTTAAAATACTGTAATTATTACGCATCTGGCTCACAGTCTTATAACTAAATTATCTTACAGAAAACATTAGAAAAAACATTAAATTATAACAACTTTGTAATAAATTGTGCTATAAATACAATAGCATAAAAACCGATCAAGCTATGCGCTGATGAAACAGGTTTCGGCGTTGTGTAATATCTGTCAAAAATCTTGGACCAGAATTCTGTTCGCTCCTGGTTTAAGTTGCCTTGCATCTCCTCTTTATACAGAATCAGCTCGTTTGCTACTTCCGAGCCACTTATGTACAACATGTGCATAAATTGGGGTGTTATCGCATCCCATGTAGTCGAATTGTAGTCCATGGGAAAGGGTTTCCTGAAAAAAATTACATTATAATGTTAAAGAAATAAAATAATAATAACTTAGAAGGGTTTTTCTTCTGATTTTAAACGTACCCAGTAAAAGCTAAACCGACAATGCGTTTGGTGATAGATTCTTGCGCCGTCTTGTCGCCAATTTTTAGGTCGAAGTTGAATAAATAATTAAGTATAGCGCCATGTTTTGCTCCATTTATTGGTATGCTTGGATACATCCAATCCGAGTTACGTGATCCTCTGTAAGCATATTCAAACAATCTGACATTATCTGGAGATGTCAAAGCCCTCTCCCTGGCTCCTCTCATTACTGGTATGAGTATTAAAACGTCTCCGTGATAATCCAAGTAATCCTCAATGACGTCCATGTTTATTGTTTTCTTCGCAAAGTAGAACTCCCGTATTTCTTGCGCTACAGAAGTTTTGTTAGAATCGTCCTTAAACGACAGATCGGCCTGTATAAAATCCTTAAAATTCATTTCCATTTTCGATAGCCAATTATTAAGAACGGCTTGTTGAGCTCGTATTGTGCCTTCTCTGTCGGTATAACCTGCTACATATGGAATTTTAGAATATTTTCCTGATCGTAATATATTAATTGGGGCATCTGACAAAACAGTTAAATTTGGATTTAAATTGACATCTTCAACACAGGGTGCAAAAAGTAATGAGGCGTTATAAAATTCATTATCAGTAAGAACGCCATTAAGGACATTAAGGTCAGTTCTAGCGAGTAATTTTGCTAGTTCGGATCTAGATTTATGCGTGTATTCTAGTTTTTCGCCAACATATTGAGCACTCTCTATTGGATTAAACGAAACTGCCCATGGAGCTAATGCTGAGCCACTGAGCACTAAAGCTTTGTGTACTAAATCGTTTGATAGTGGCGATAGAGTGATAAGATCGACCATAGCTGCTGCAGAACCATGGCCAACTAGCATCACATTATTGGGATCTCCCCCAAACCCTGCAATATTGTCTCTAATCCACTGTAAGCCTTGTATTACGTCTTTTAATCCAGCATTTCCGGGTGCTTCTTCAACACCAAGACATAAGAAACCAAAGATAGATAGTCGATAATTCATTGAAACAACCACTAATCCACTTTGGACGAGATGTCTGAAGGAAAATAGTGTCCCAGAGGTACTTTCGTAGTCTTCACCCTCAATCCATACCATAACAGGTTTGGAGTTTGTTAAGTTTTTTGTGAAAATATTCAACATCAGACAGTTTTCAACTCCAATGATGCCTCTATACGAAGGCTGAGCGCATATTACGTCTGTGTCGATGGCGTGGTAATCTCCAGGATATTTTGGAGCTGGTGTAGGTGCCTGGAATGTTAGAAATAACATTACTTGTTAAATTATAAGACAATAACCAAGGGACTGTCTACTTCTTAATAGGATGCCTTATGGCACTTCGCATTCATTTTTCAATCCAGAAAGAATACATATCAGAAAACTGGTCAGAATATTCTTTATATATTAATTTGATTCGAAGTTTTTTTTGTCAAATTAGTTGTAATATATTATAAGGTGAATCAATTAAAGCGTTGTTACTTCAAGATTGTGAGTGTATGACCAATGCAATTTTATCTTATCATTTGGTATCGTTTGATTTATCAATTCTTGTTTATTACTTACTCACACCTCGTCCAGTTTAAAAACCGTACCTATAAACTAAAATGTACACATTTTCCTCATCCTGATGCTAAATGATATACTATAACATAGTATAAATGTATGCAAGTCTTCAAAGTCATTATGATTGTGTTAAAGTTTTTTAATGAACAAATACGAGTACACAATAATCTTCCTTATGTTGTTAATCATAATAATCATTATTGATTGCATAATTTATCAGTTCTGAAACAGGTTTTTGGCTGACAGCCACAAAATTGAAACGCATCGTATTTGCCATTATTGTAATGACGTAATGTACGGACAGAAGCTTTACGGAGTTCTGTTTATAGTTGCTGAAGTAAATAAATAAATTAGAGCCTTACTTATGTAATGATTATAGCAGACATTTGCTATAGATTATGCACGAGCATTTAAATTTAACACCTATGCTCTTTAACTTAGGTATCAATTTAGATAGCGGATATAAATGTACACTAAGGGAATTTATACATCTTCATTGCGATGTTAATTTATGAACCGTAAGGGTCGAAGTATTAAATAAATATTTGCATACGTCTGTTATCAAAGTGCACGTGCTAGTAGTTTCGCAAGCGTTTCAAGACAGTTAGCTTCAATCTAAGTGTAAGTTATGATTTATATCTATTAACATCTCACCTTAAATCTATTTGCACCGGACGTGTCCCCGGCGTAATGTATTCCGTAAAATGATAGATAGTCTCCATCTAGAACTCTTCTGCCGACTATAATTCCTTGCGTCGTATTAACCCTCGGGTCTTGTGCTCGTGATATCGCCAGCACGCAAATAAACACCAACAACCACATTTTTATGTAGCACACGTGCGCTCTGAACGATACCAAGCGCCGGAGTGAGGTGACGTCACCCCATTACGATAACATGCTCGCGATACTCGACTTGCCTTCAGACTTCGCGAATTAATGACAGGTTAAATGTATGTCTTCAGTATTCTTTTGTTTTTTTTTGTCCATATGCATAAAGTTCTGCTACACTCTCAAAACAGACGTGGTATAAATAGATGGTATTTTTTTATTATATTTCGTGTATTGTATGCAAAAATAATATTCATAAAAATTCGTAGAATAGTTTAATAAAACAACAATAAAATCATGTTCAAACTTCTTTATAGTGAATAATTTCAACAAACAGTAATTTGGATATAAAAACGGATTATGAAACCAAATTTAATGCTTAGTTTTGTACGTAATTTTAGTGTGATCAAGTTTCAAAGTAACAAGAGAATTATTTTAAATACTTCTTTGTAAATCAGCATATACATTGGAACTCTACGCTTATTCCATGTTGCCGTCGTTATACAACATACGCAGAGTTAATAGTCTTCATTTATAGGTCTTCGAAAATTATAATTTTACAATAGCTTACTGAATGAGAAACAGCTTACGACTTGTATATAGTGTGACGATGCAAATGTAGATTAAACATTCTGTTTTCTGTAGCTGTTTGGTTAGCTGAACTTGTTTTTTTCGTGTACTCACATCTGAAATTACTGAAAAATACATCTTGGAAATTCTAGCTGTTACATAAGGTCTAATGTTTGCCCACATTTCATATTGATAACATTCATGTTGGAGTTAAAAGCTAAATATGAAATGTGTTTTCTTTATACAGAATTAATTTTTTTAAGTTTTTTTTCAAAGTATTCACAGAATCGATAGTTTTTGTTTAAGTACATCCTACTCCATCACGCCTCTAAAAGGTGAAATTGAATTGTCTTTTTATAAGTCACAGTATTTTTTATTATTCTTAATACTTACATTATAATTAATAAATATAATTCCTTCATATATTTGTCATTGATACATTATCTAATGAGCTGTACTGTAACAAATTTTACTTTGGTGACTAAGAATAATAAAACGGTGAGTAGATTTTCTTATAGCTGTAAGGATTACTTTAAAATCAATTCGTTACATACTAAGGATCCTGTGTGTGTATCCGAGCCAATAATCCTTTTTAACTTATTAAAAAAAAGCGCATTTGTTTTTTCTGAAACTGTCAAAATTTATATCATTCGTTCTTTGAGAGCAATTTTTATGTTTTATGAAGAAACATCTAGATTAGAACCTATTTGTTTACACTTAGAAGACATTTATAACACATAAAATATATAAACGTGATACACTAAAACGAACTATTTAAGGGCAAATGAATCGTGAAAAATGTTCATACTTAGATCATGTTCATAAACAATTATTTAAAAATGAAAAGTAGATAGATAATCTCAGCTATGTTGACTTAGTATATTCTGTATGATGGCTAAGAAAATTCAAATCCAATTGATCAAATCACCAGGTATAGTGGTCATCTGGAATAGTCATTATAGGTTGAATGTAACTGTCTCTTCTTTACTTTTTTCAATAAAATACGTAATAATTATCAGTTTAACGGTCAGGAATCAGAATACATACAAAAATTAATATCTTTCCGTTGGAGTTCTGTTATTAAGCATTGTGAAAGTTATTTGTGAAAATACAAAATACGAATGAAGACAGACCATAAGTCATAGAAAAAATACAAATTGTCTAAGTGTGTATCAGTTTTACGAAAGTAAGCTTACTTACTTTTTTCTATGAAAATTTCTAAAAATCATTTTATATATGATAGTTACTTTCAATATTAATTGTATATCTCTATGAAGTTCTTGTTTCAGCTTGAATAAGAATTTAAGATCTATGAAAATTTTAATAATCTTATTATTAGGACCCTGATTATAGACGGACAGAGGAGACGGATTAGAACCGTCCATAGAGCCTTTGTTTTTAAACCCCAAGTTTTTAAAACTATATAAGTAAATATTGTATGTAGTTGTTAGAGAGATTCTTCTTCTTTCTGGTAATCTCCCAGCTTTAGCCAGGGTCTGCCAGTTGTTACCGAGATTATATGTTATGAGCTTCGTAAATTACGTATACCAGATCATTCAAGAATGTTCGCAGTTAGTACAAATAATTACTATAATAAATTTAAAACACAACTCGCTAACTAGCACCGTGATGTTGTTGTGTTTAAAATAATTGTGTCTCTAATGTATTATAAATTAATTAGTTAAAAGACACGATAAAGGGTTGACGTCACTACATTTATAGCTTGAATAAATTATTATTTAAAAACTGTTAAGTGTAAGATGAAAATAGATATAAAAGGAGATTTCAAAATCAAAGTTTTTAACGAATTATATATCTTATATTATAATTATATATCTTGATGGCTTTAATCATCATAAAAAGCGGAATGTGTAGTAGACTCATATCTCGTCTGCCAGTGATCACGTTTGCTGTAAAGTAACCGAAACGTAGGGAGTATGTAGTTTTGATAAAAATAAAAAACCACGTAGTACATTCCAAAAATATTGGTTTCATTTATATGTAGTTTCTCTTAACATTTAAGTCGATTTTGATAGAGACAGATATAATACTTTTGGTGAAAAAGTTATAAATAGGAACTTATTCAATAGTGTAGGTATTTTATTTATAATCTATATATATAAAAGAAAGTCGTGTTAGTTACACCACTTATAACTCAAGAACGGCTGAACCGATTTAGCTGAAAATTGGCTGGGAGGTAGTTTAGAACAAGGAAATTGTAATAGGATACTTTTTATCCCGTTCGACAGCATTCCCGTGGGACTTGACATAACGTAAACGTCAGTCACTATAAAACGTGGAATAACGAAACACAATTGACAGCTATGCAATTGACGTATAATGACAGATATGTTATTTAGTATTTGCGGGATAAATTTAGAAAATCATTGTATTTCACATGGGCAGTTATAGTTTGTGTGTTCACGAGTTGGGAAACCATCCGCTTTATTTTTGTTAACGTTAGACCAAAAAACAAAAAATGTGGTTTACAAAGGAGCACTTCAATGAAACGGATAATTTGCGGACACGTATAACGCTTTGGTTCGGTATCTACTTTGGATTCACTTTCATTTACTTAGAGGAGTTCAACTAAATAACACTTCATTTTTGTAATCGGAATAAATTCATTACTGTTGTGAAATGAAATAAAAATTTTACTTTTCAAATATAAAACAAAAAAAAAATTTCTTCATCTTTTAATCACCAAACGAAATGTTACATAAAACAAAGCCTTGTGGAGGCGAAACGGAGTTCGCCAGGTTTACTAGTTATGTATATATGTAAAAAGTCTTTATCTATCAATTAACTGTCACACCTTTATCCACTCACAGATCTACGATAAATATAACTATATCTTTTAATAATATTAAATGTTAATAACCACTCTAATATACAAAAGTATTATAATATAAAATTGCTCATTCATTTTATAGCAGGCCTATTTTTATTAGAAAATTCAAAAGCTGAAACTGCCAAGTATGATTTAAAACATACGGGAAATGCCCAGTTAATTGACAGTATTCACATGAGCTATTCAAAGACTGGCTTTTTGGCAGTAAGTTTTAAGTTTGAATTTTCGAAGAGAAACGATCCTCAGCGTTAGTCATAGTTCTGTCAGGATCCGGTAAAAAACAATCATTTAATATTAATATATTAAAAATCTCCTACGTTATAAGCCACCGATGTGGATTTTTGAAATATTTAGTGAATAGATAAAATAACATTTTTTTTTGTTTATTCCATAAAATAAATGTTAAATAAATTTTTAATATACCTAATTAACGCAATTTTATATTTTTTTTTTCTGATCGTCGATCAATTTAAATCTGAAACCTTTAAATTGAATATTTAGTAAGTAATAAATTACATAATAAAATAGTTACATACTAAATTTCTCCTTTAATAATTAAGTAGGTAAATAGTAAATGTATATTGTTAACAACTTTAAGTACAGTACCACTCTCTGTGTCATTGTAATTTACTATTTTTATAAGAGTAGTAAAAATTTACTGAATCGTGTCTGCTAGAAATGAATCGATGTCCACGATACAGGCCTAGCTTAGTGTGGACGTCAACGTTTACTATATATTGCATTGTTAAGTGTTTTTACAAATAAATAAATAAAATATTGGGTACATCAGACATTTCTATTTATTAACAGGTCATTGACTTTATCGGAGTATATCTTTCTTCTACTTATAATATCTAGAATATCTTTGTCTTTTGTAATAAAAAAATACGAACTACATACAGTATATCTAATTTGTAGTTGTATTTGCCAAGTGACAGAAACCATTTATAATTCAGAAATTTACTGCGTAACAAATTACGAAAACTCTATGTTTAATTAATATCACACATAGATTTATTAAAGACATTTTTCCTTAAAGAACTTGTTCTATTTATTGGAATCTAATATACATTATTGTGACTTGATTGTTTTAAATATTTATGTATAATAAAATATCATGTCTTTCCATATTCATGTTTTCTATGTGAACTATTAGTTATTATTAACGTTTTCATCATACAGTACTATTGATGTCGAAATATTAGGTACCTATATTTATTTATTATAATTTTAATCAATAAACCAATTTTAATATATAATCCGACTTATTAAATATAAATTAAATATGTATACGAATTATCCCTTATCTTCCTGCCAATTTCCCAGCTTTAGCCAGGGTCTGCCAATACGAGTTATATTAAATATTAAAGTCTCAACTATATGATTTTTGTTACATCTTCATAAAACTTTTTGAAATCATTTTTTCAATGTTCCAATACAAATGGTTTCGACACATTTTGTAATAATACGTTTTATTTACGTTTAACATCTTTCGGTGTTTTTGCTAAATTAAATCTCAAGGAGAAACTTATTCTGTTTCTTCTAATATTTTTAGACGAAGAACAAAGATCAT